AAGACACTTAGTAAGATAAAAGTAATCGCTGGCTAGTGTGAGGCTTGTTAGCTATAAGTTCCATAGCTATAAGTTCTACCACCGATACACACAGTATGAACCTTCATGTTCTTTGTACAGTACATGGCATTCAAGATTTACAGTACTGAATTATTTCCCAAATACTAAATACGACACAGGCAATTCTTCTTTCCAATATAAGATATGAATCTCAATTATTAAAACACACTTGAGAAAGAAATCTCAGAGCTAAATACAGACACTTAATACAGAATATGACTGGGGTCAGTTATTTATTTTATATATCTGAGGGTCATCACTAGAACACTGCTGGAGCTTTCACTAATGTGAGTCCATGCATTCTGGAAAGAGATGCAACAGGAATAAAATAAATTACATCAAGATTAAAATTATGTTGTTGCTGGGGAGATGCTCTTGAGTTAAAATACATCTTTTTACATTGTTTAATTATAAGTATAGTATACATTATGACTCTTTCAGTGTCCTTGTACATTGCCTGGAATATGTGTACAGTGCCTGGGATACATATACAGTGCCTGGTATATGTGTACAGTGCCTAACAGGATACATGTATACAATGCCTGGGATATATGTATAGTGTCTGATATATGTGTACAGTGCCCAGTATACATGTACAGTGCCTGGAGTGTATGTACAGTGTCTGGTATATACCTACAGTACACAAGAAATTTCTTGAGATAAAAAATTGCACACCTATTGATAGTTCCTTTTAATTTTCTGTAATAGGTGAAGCCATCAAAAAATGAAACAAGAGAGACCTCACACCCACATGTTTTGAGGCCACGGTACATATAAGTTACTGTCAGTATTAACCAGAGCATCTCCTGTACCAGTTTTTAAGACAATACAGTACAGTAGTTCATAAAGCTGAGTCTGAGCAAAGTAAACTAGTACACTACCACATAAACACCATATTAAACATGAGTACAGTAGAACCTTGATAATCCACAATAAATTCATGGTAAATTTTTGTAAGATCATTACACTAAATAAGAGAGATCGAACACCCAGAGGAGGTAAAGTTTATAAGGTAAGCTCTTACCTCCTACACCCCAGAACCACCACTGATTGGGGTGTAGAACATTAAACAACATTTTTCAAGCCATCTAAACTTTCAACAGTGTGGGACCAGCCAACCCTAAGTTCAATATGAGTTGAGTTTAAGCAGTGTGGTCTGTCAGCCCACCTGGAGGCCTATACTAAGACAAAACCTACATCATTCTTGTGTCTCTGGAGATATTACATGTCTAAATAATTTTATAATATTTATGTACATTGCAAAAACAATGTTACTGTTAGCTTGCTAATTATTTTTTAAATTAACAGTATTAAAACGTACTACAGTAATGTGTAAATTGCTGTAAATAAATTGAGTACCAGTATAATGTATACAGTAAGGTACAGTACAGTACTACTGTACGTATATATGTTTCTGGACATATGTGAAATGAAGACCTGGCGGAACCTTTCTCAATCATCTGTTAGCAACTGATGTATGTATGCTGGAAACTTAACCACTTCATGCTACTTCTCGGGAAAGTCATCAAGTTTTCCGATGTACAGTACTAACATAGCTAACAGTTAGTCTAGCCCTGGGGTATGAAGAGCTTTGGAAAAAAAAGCTAATAAATTTTTGAGGTAAACTAAGTAATTTAAAAAATAACAAGACATTATCAAAATCATTAATTTCTTGGGTAAAAACGACTCTTAGTACAGTATTTCCTTTATAAGCAAGTACAGTATAATTACAGTGAACAGATAAGTTAAAAGTGCAATTCTCAACCAGGGTCTCTTGAATCTTGTTAGCTACATCACTGGGATTTACAACTGCTGGCACTGAGCTTTGGGACAGGAGCTGTATAATAATTACCTGAGCACTTTTCCATTTTCTCCCCCGCATCTTTCCCTGGGTTGAAGCGTGATAATCTTGAAATAGAACTTCTTCGACATGTTTTAACTTTTCCTTTGGCAAGATTTCCTGCCTTCTTGAACAGAATTACGCTTCTGAAAATGGTCCATTTACTGGCATGTGGTTTTCTCTAAGGAATGGCCTCTTTGCATTCTTCTATGAACTCTAAATCATCTTGTTTTTCTTGGGGAATGTCCGTATTGTCTTCAGTCATCTCTGGTTTACAAAGATGTTGTGGGTTCACAGCATTGTAAAGGATAGATGTTATCAATGCACCCAGCAAAGAATTAGCTTACATCTCTGTGAGGTATTGTTGTGAAGCCTCATACTAACAAAACAACACCCCAGGGCAGGTCTCAACCCTGTGACATTGAAACACCAAGGCAAACTCTAGTGGCAACACAGCATCAATAAACAGACACTATGAGGGAGTGCAGTATGTTGTAAGGGACCATAGAGATCCTTGCCATAAGAAGAAGAAAAGTGAAGCATTACAGGACAACATGTGACTTTAAATGATTCATACCAGAAGACAACAGGGAGGAATATTAAGGACACAAGGACACAGGGAGAACATGAGGCAAGTAGATATGAAACAAGGTAAGGATTGAGAGCACGGTACAAAGAACAGAAAGGATTTGCTGGATATGATTCAAGTTACCATATCTTCATCTGTCTGTAATTTGTGTAATAAAGGTCAATATTAAAGTGATTGGACTAATAAAAGTATGTTTGTAAGACTTAAGCACCCAGCAGATCACGAAGCAACAAGTAAAGAGGTGTTGGGGGTACAGCGGGAGCACATGTACTGTATCTCTCACCAACATGTCAAAGATTGGAGTTTTGTTTGCCCCAGTTACACATGAGAAGAGTGTGACCCTCACTACCAAACATCACAGGTTTCCCAGACTCCAGTTTACTCCTATACTAACACTGAAAAGACTAACTGCCTGAATGGTTAGTAAGCTGGGCCTGAACAGTTAGTAAGCTGATAAGTGGTGAAAAGAAATATATGTATACAGTGAACCCTCACTTTACGCGGTCAATTGAACCCCTGGCAGCCCGTAAAAGTGGAACGTAAAGTGAACAACATAACATATGGGATTAATTGAAATAGAGATCGGGCAGACCCAAACTCACTTTTCAGACACAATACCTACATTGTAGTAAAAATAACTTCTTAATTTATGATGATATGCACAACAATTAATAATTAAGAGAAATATCAATAATATTAGGTTTTTTAACACTTACATTAGTAGAAAAGATGACTGGGCACATGGGGATGGGGTTGGTCCGAGACAGAGGGCAGATTATTCCCTCACCTGTATCACTTGTATCAATTGTATCACTATCCACCACAGAAGTTGCAGGGCCTCTTTGTCAAACCCCCAAAGTCCATATAAGTCCATATCCTCACTATCATTATCACTATCACTTGGCTGTTGGGTGGGCGGAGAAGTCCCGGTAATGATTTGATGACTGGCGACCTTAGCATGCTCACTGCCCTCCGTAAAGGGCAACATGAAAGTGAGACCGGTTGCAGGGTACCGCATAACGTGAAACGCTACAGAAGCGGTTTTTTTTTTTACACGTTTTACATTTACGCTACCCTGCCAGAACCGAATTCCAACTTTACCACTTTACGTGGTGCATCTACCTCATACGGAGTGAAGTATAATTTTTTATTTAGCTCATAAAATTCATACAAATTACCCCGCCAGAATATAATTTACATTGCTGAATTCTTACAATTTGATGATCATTTTGAATATAAACATCATAGATTTTGCATTAGACATACAAATTTTAGATCTAATGTAAGTATTTTGTTTACTCTGAGTAAATATGTTATCTTTTTGGAAATATAAGACATTTATATTCAAAATATTCCTGGTCTTACAAGGAATCTAGCAATGTCAATTATATTTTTCTGAGAGGAAGAACAGTGTGAGAAGAGGGGAGTTGAGTCCATTATTTGAATGGACATTAACTTACAACTGCATTTCTCTATTTTCTTAAATATTAATAAAAGTACCATCATAAATTAAGATTTTATTTTTACTAGAACATAGGTATTGTGTCGGAAAAAGTGGAGTTTGGGGGTCGGCCGGTCTCTATTTCAATTAATCCCATATGTTATGTTGTCTCTTACGCTGGCTTGGCGCAGCCTCGTGGGTTCATTGACGCCAAAAGTGAAGGTTCACTGTGTATATATATATATATATATATATATATATATATATATATATATATATATATATATATATATATATATATATATATATATATATATATATATATATATATATATATATATATATATATATATATATATATATATATATATATATATATATATATATATATATATATATATATATATATATATATATATATATATATATATATATATATGATAAAATAATAAAAGGTTACAGTGATATAAAGTAAACCATGAAAGAGCTGTAAAAGCATTGCACTTTACTAACATGTTTGCTCATCCCATATGGTAAATGATAGAAAATAATTAGATTTCATTACTGTAATTTTTTTTTAATATCTTGTAAAATTTTAATATTTGTCTTTGTTTCTCCTATGATATATAGCCCACACCTTTGTATATAGTGTACCTGTTCTGTATTTGAAGTACTGTAGGTATTCTGTATTAAACATAATATTTTCTTGTAGATTATCAAGGTTATACGTACTGCTCTTTGCTAAAATAAGTTGCTTAACTTACAAAGTTACTCAAACTTACAGCTATGCTCAAGCTCAAAAGTGTATTGAAACAATAATACCGTACTTAGTACATTAATTTTTTTAAACTTAAATACAACAAAATATTATTACATAATAAAAAAGTTAAAGAAAACAATTAAAAGGCAAATTAAGATAAGTAATAAAATACAACATCAAATTAATGAACAATAAAAATGTTTGGTAAAAAGCTCAAATACCATTCTAAAAATTCTACTCTCAAAAATTAATCGACAACATTAAAGATTATGGCAGGAACGACACAATACTTGAAGCACCAATCACATACCTTTCGTGATGACTTCGTACTCGTCCATGTCGGGGCTTGAACCTTTGCTCGATGTCGGACTATCCTCTTTCTGCTGAGATAACAACAAGCTTTGATATAGAAAACACTTATACACTGTTCTTACTCACTTACTATATTTACTTATGCCCATCACTAGTGTAATTACCTCCCTAGAATAAACGCTTAGACATTAATTACTCAATTACGGTAATACATTATAACATCAACATCAGGACAAAATAACCCATTCATTCTACTGTAACTACTGTACTGTGACATCCCCCAATAATGACTCTACTGTACTGTGACATCCTCCAATAACCACTCTACTGTACTGTGACATCCCCCAATAACCACTCTACTGCACTGTGACATCCCCCAATAACCACTCTACTGTACGGTGACATACTCCAATAACCGCTCTATTGTACTGACATCCCCAAATAACCACTCTACTGTACTGTGATATCCTCCAATAACCACTCTACTGTACTGTGACATCCTCCAATAACCACTCTACTGTACTGTGACATCCTCCAATAACCACTCTACTGTACTGCATCCCAACAACACTTATGTGGACATCCCAATAACCACTCTACTACTGTGACATCCTCAATAACCACTCTACAATGCATTGACATACTCAATAGCTCTATTGTACTGACATCCTCCAATAACCACTTACTGTACTGTGACATCCTCCACTCTACTGTACTGCATGGACACATCCCCCAATAACCACTTACTGAACTGTGACATCCTCCAATAACCACTGCTGGACCTGTCTGACATCCTCCAATAACCACTCTACTGTACTGTGACATGTGACATCCTCCAATAACCACTCTACTGTACTGTGACATCCTCCAATAACCACTCTACTGTACTGTACATCCTCCACTCCACTGTATAACCACTCTACTGCACGTGACATCCCCCAATACACCATGCGTACTCCGCTGACATTCCCCACATCCTCCAATAACCACTCTACTGTACTGTGACATCCTCCAATAACCACTCTACTGTACTGTAACATCCTCCAATAACCACTCTACTGCACTGTGACATCCCCCAATAACCACTCTACTGTACTGTGACATTCCCCAATAACCACTCTACTGGACTGTGACATCCCCCAATAACCACTCTACTGAAATGTGACATCCTCCAATAACCAGTCTACTGTACTGTGACATCCTCCAATAACCACTCTACTGTACTGTGACATCCTCCAATAACCACTCTACTGTACTGTGACATCTCCCCTACAACTGCGTATCCGCATTCCAATGCGACAGTATCCTAGCAACCAAACGAGCGCTACCAGTCTTCCCTAGCAACGGGGGGGGTCGAGAAACCGGCGAGTTCCCACGGGTTTACTTCCGGCTGCTGTGTATATAAGCTCTGTCTCTCCATTAAGATTCATTCTACTCTACGTTCCTGAACACGCAACACCTCCTCCAAGCAAGCTCCTCGCTGTCCAGCTCTCATTCAACCTGGAGGCCAGCAACAGGCAACATCTCCTCTAACGAAGCTCCTGCTCATCTACCTCCTTCAGCACGCTACTCACCGAACGTGTCTACTGAGCAGCTCCTCACCACACGGCATCTCCAGCACCAGACTGTCTTTCATATAACTTATATTATATAAGAAAACCACCACCTAGAGTTTCCATCAATCCCATCCTGAGTGCTAGACAACATAATATCACGTAACCCTACAAATGGTGACCCCCGGAAAAATGCACTTACACAGGATGGAGGACGGACGGATCTCTCTACCGACTTTCAACCACAACGTCGAGGACTGGTTAGATCATGTGGAAGCAGCCCTCGTCGGCTCACAAGCGACTGACGAGCAAAAGTATGGCGCCCTGCTCTGTGCCTTGCCCATGGAAGTCGCCACGCAGGTCTCACAGACCATTTCCAACCCTCCAGATGACAACAAATTCGCTACCCTGCGGGATGCCTTGAAGACGCGTTATCAACAGACCAGCCCCAATCTCCTGCAAGACCTATCCTCTATCTCCCTCGGGAACTCAACCCCGGGACGTCTCTGGGAGGAGATGTGTAGGCTGAACTCCCGTCACACAGACAGACTCCTCGACTCTATCCTGCGCCAGCTTCACACACAAAAGCTACCCACAGAAGTACGCAACATCCTGTCCGCAGTAGATTACTCTACGACACCGGAACTATATGCAACCGCGGCAGACAGAATTTTCAACGAGTGTGCTGCTGCACCCCTTGCCGCCACGGTCACACCAGTATCTACCACCGAACTTGTAAGCCGGGTCAACACCCCTCAGCCGAGCAATACCTCACAAGACATCAAGGACCTGTTGCAAACTTTGAACCGCAGGATGGACACCATTGAGCAGTTCTGCTCCTCCATACCCGCTGCTGTGCCAGTCCCTGACTCACACACCACGCCCTACAAGTTCCGACGGACAGCAGCCAGCCCCCAGCACAACAAATATACCCTCTGCTGGTATCACCAGACTTTCGGCTGCAATGCTCGAAACTGTGAGCCCTATTGCACCTATTCGGGAAACGGCAACACCGGAGGCTGGTAGACGCCTCAGCCTCCGTCCCTTCAGGCGTCTCATTACTGCACGTCACCGACCACACCTCCGGCAAGAAGTTCCTCATCGACACAGGTTCATCGGTCAGCCTCATCCCTCCCTCACTACAAGACAAGTCAAAGCAACCCTCTTATGACCTGTTCGCTGCCAACGGTACCTCCATCACCTCCTACGGCGTACGCACCCTCGCCTTAGACCTCGGTCTGCCCAAGACTGCGTTGGTTATTCGTGATAGCAGACGTGTCTCAACCCATCCTTGGTTTCGACTTCCTCACCTTCCACAAGCTCGACGTCAAACCAAGTCATCTATGCCTCATCCATGAGCCTACAGCACGCAAGATCCAGGGTTCTCGTGCGAGACACACCGACACTATCACCTGTCTTGCGCCTTCCAACGAGTTCTCCTCCCTGCTCGACGAATTCAAGGAGCTTTTCTCACCCCGAGTCTCCCTACCCCCACCACCTACATAGGGAATTTTCCACCACATCGAAACCAAAGGACCACCAGTCTTTTCACGCCCTCGCCGCCTGCGCCCTGAGCTCCTGAACACAGCCAAAGTAGAATTCAACAAACTACTGCAAGACGGCATCATTCGCCCTTCAAGGAGTCCCTGGGCATCGCCTCTTCACATGGTTCCTAAGCAAACACCCGGCGAGTGGAGGGTGTGTGGCGACTACAGAGCCCTGAATCTCGTCACCAAACCTGACAGGTACCCTATTCCGCATGTCCAGGACTTTCACCACAAACTTCATGGCAAGACTATCTTCTCGAAGATCGACTTGGAGCGTGCCTTCCACCAGATCCCAGTAGCACTGGCAGATACCCAGAAGACAGCCATCACCACTCCGTTTGGACTCTTCGAGTACACTTTCATGAGTTTTGGCTTATGCAATGCAGCACAGACTTTCCAGAGGTACATGGACCATATGCTTCGCGACCTCGATTTTGTCACCGTCTACATTGACGACATCCTCGTCGCATCTTCGACGCCTGCCGAGCACCGCCACCACCTACAACTCCTTCTCCAACGCCTGCAGAACAACAACATGAAAGTTCATCCTGCTAAGTGCGTCTTTGGAACCTCGGCCATCGATTTCCTCAGTCACAGAGTCTCGCCCAGTGGCATACAACCCCTACCACAGAAGATAACTGCGATTAGGGAGTTCCCCAAACCTGAAACGGCGAAGAAACTCCGAGAATTCCTGGGTTTAGCCAACTACTACCACCGCTTCATTGACAAAGCTGCCACCATCCTAGCCCCCCTACACGACCTTCTCAAGGGACGCCCAAAGAAGTCTCACAAGTCTCTCGTGTGGACTCAAGAGGCTACTACGGCATTCACCACTATCAAACAGCACATTACACGCCTCACCCTCCTGGCCCACCCCGCACCTAACGCCCGGACCACTCTCACAACAGACGCTTCTTCTACTGCAGTGGGCGCCGTCTTACAGCAGGAGATCAACGGAATTCTCATGCCCGTTGCTTTCTTCTCACAACGGCTTCAACCACCACACCTCAAGTACAGCGCCTTTGATCGAGAACTCCTGGCCATATACCTGGCTGTCAAACATTTCCAGCACTTCCTCGAGGCCCGTCAGTTCACCATCTTCACTAATCACAAGCCCCTCGTCCACGCCTTCGCTTCAGCTTCCCAGTCACATACACCTCGTGTCCTGCGCAACTTGGCTTACATCTCGGAGTTCTCCAGCGACGTCCAACACATTAAAGGCAGCCACAACGAGATCGCCGACGCCCTCTCTCGTTGTATATCCAACATTCTTCCCTCATCTCCACCCATTGATTACGGGCAGCTAGCCGCGGCTCAAGAGAAAGACGAAGACCTGGCAGCATACAAGACATCCCCCTCAGGCCTCACACTCCAAGAACTCCCTGTTCCTGGCACAAAGATAAAATTGTGGTGCGACGTATCCTGTGGGCAGCCTAGACCGTTCGTGCCTCACGTCCACCACCGCGCTGTTTTCGACCGCATCCATGGTCTCAGCCACCCGGGTGTGCGGGCCTCCCAGCGCCTCCTCACGCAACGTGTCGTCTGGCCCGGCATCAAGTCTGATACTAAGAAATGGGCTGCCCAGTGCCTGGCCTGCAAGTCCTCCAAAATACATCGTCACATACGGCCCCCTTACAAACCTTCCCTATTCCCAAAGGATGTTTTCAAGTAGTACACCTCGACATCGTGGGACCTCTTCCATCATCCTACGGTAGCACCTACATCTTCACCTGCATCGACCGTTTCACCAGGTGGACAGAAGCAATTCCCATGCCCAATGCTACAGCAGAGACTACCGTCCGCGCCTTCATGTCCGGTTGGGTTTCCCGTTTTGGCCCCCCCGCAACCGTAATCACTGACCGAGGAGTCCAGTTTGAGTCACAACTTTGGCAGCACCTCCTACAGTTCCTCGGCACATCTAGACAACGCACTACAGCATACCACCCTCAAGCCAACGGCATGGTAAAGCGT